ACCGTCATGTTCATCATCTTCCGCAACACTATTGGTGGTGTGGCTGAGCTAAACATATCGGCAGAGATAGGCACCACCCTCTTCGCCTTCATGTGGGTGGCAAGTGCTTTCGCCATCTTTGCCTGGCTCGTACAGATGGGACTTTGCTGCTGCTGCGCCTCAAGGAGAGATGTCAAGAAAGGCAAGAAGAGAGGAAATGAGAAGGCGTACCACATGGACGCGGCTGGCACAGAGGCAGGCGGCATCAGGGACACCAACGTCGTCGCCGGCGAAGCCAACGAGAAGCCACAAAAGAAGAACTACCAGTTTTGGAAGCGTGGTTAGGAACCTCTTCCATCAACTTCAAACCTCTTCGAGCACATTACACGCACAGACATTGACTTGGACACCGAAGTCCTAGAAGCTAGCCCATGACACGCCTAGTGCTGGCTACGCAAAAAGAGAAATTTGGAATCTGTAACTTTCAGCGAGCGCGGCGTTGGTTTGGCATCTTTGGTACAGCTCAGCATAGTACAGCGCAGCGTTGGACTTTTGTATTCGACATGACATGACATTGATCACGGACATATTCCTTCACCCATACATACAACCTAATGATATCGTTATTACAGCTAGAAGACCAATCATGCATTCCTGGATGGGTATCTTAGTCGTGACCGTCCGATGACTTAACTCCAAAACTCGCAGCTTATCTGTGTTCAATTTGCTTTCCCCTGTGCAGCACTCTTGTTCATCTTCTCCAACGTATCCATGTCGATAATTCTCAACTCCGTCCTCGCCCACAGAATGATCATGCATATTACGCCCGGCAGGAAGCCGCCTCCCACCATAAGCCCTTCACCCCAGCCACGCGCCTGCCAGACTTCATACAACGCCAGTAGCCCACACACGGCCCTGTTGATTGGCACAATAGAATCCGCTATCTTATCCGCTGCCTCTTCCGAGATGTACGGTACAGGCCGCCTTACACTCTTCTCAGTCGGTTGTTCCCACGACGGTGTCTTGTTGTAGATTCCATATCCACCCAGAGGTTTCTTAGCCTGCCCTTTCCCTTTCGATGGCTGTTGGAGTGTTGAGGGTGTGACGTCTACACCATCGATTGGCTCCATTTGCGTCGGTGGTAGCGGCAGGAAGTATAACGTATACGCTGTTGCGAGCAGACTCGCGATAGAGACTAGACTGATCGGGAGGGTGGATACGGCGAATAGTCGCGGGATGTAGAGGAGTGTGGGGAGTAAGGGTAGCGCGAGGAGGAAGAGCGTATATGTGTGCGTCGTGGATGTGTCGTGTGTGCTGAGGGTTTGGAGGAGGGCTGCGCGGTCTGTGTAGTTCTGTCAGCAAGGCGGGGATGAGGCATGGAGGAGAGGGAAGGATACCTTGTTCGTCCATACCCGCTTCTACGGTATCTTCATCGTCGGATTCGGACGGGTACTTGAACGTCTTGCGCAGGCGTTGCGCTGCTACTGTTTCGGCTTCCTTGAGTTTCTCCATCTTTTTCTGTGTCTTTTGCGCGAGTTGGTACGGGGTTTGGAGGATTCGGGGACTTGAGTGTATGTTGTGTGAGAAAGGATTAGACGAGATTATGTGTTAACTGAGACCGGGTGACTGAAAGGTGGCCTTTGGTGGCTACCTGCGCGCGTGCGGCAAGGCAACCGGGTTGTTGGACTGTTTGGGTCGGCGGAACGGATGACGACGTTTGTGGGGGAGATCTGGACCTGGACCCTGGGATTAGCGCGCTGGACCTGCATGCATCATCTTCGACTGTATCACTCGACTTTGCAACCATGATAGTAACGTCTTCAATTCTCTACCTATGTTATAAGAATCCTCGGCTAGGGTAATTTCCCATCCATCATGCGCGGCTCAACCTTTTAATACCTCTTGATATCTTCTCCGCCAACGAAATGCAGTCTCACGTGCCTCCGACGAGGCCTAGCTGGCGCCTGATTGATCCAGATATCGCGTTCCATATAGCAACGGCAATTGCGAAAACCCTGAGCCGTTCTTGGTACTGCGGCCTGGGGTCTCGCATAGAAGCTGAACTATAAATTCGGTTTAATCTTGTTATGGTGGGAGCTTTATCTTCTCCATCACCATCGTTTGGATTTTACTCATCTTCACAAAATATTATCCATTGCTGTTCCTACATAACACGACCCGCCTGGTTCCCTCCAGTTGCTCTAGTCCTAATTCACGCTTCTTTCGCAGAGACATCCCACCTCCTCAACCACCTCGAAGCACAACATGCCCCTGGAACTCCAACGCTTGCCGAGCACACGAGAGCTGAGACGCATCGCTTATCCGATCCATCTGGAAAGCACCCTAGGTATTCTGAGCGACGCATATAGCGACGGGAACACTAATTGCCGGTTAAGGACCAACCCCACTCGACCAAGCAGACATGTCACCAAGAACTGTTCGGCCGATGCGAATCCCTCACATGATATAAGCTGTCCTTTCTTTGATGTTCTCCCGCGTGAGATAAGAAACGAGGTCTATCGTCACGCACTTGGGAGTTCATGCGACGCTTTCATGGTTGGTAAAGCTCATCTCAGAGTAACATACCAGGGCCAGAAGGGTTTTATTCGAGATACATACAAAGACCAGATAATTTGGATGTGCACGAGCAAGCAAATGTACCGGGAGACTACCGAGCAGTTTTACCATCTGGCTCGCTTCAACATGGACATGGATACTCGCTACGATGTACTGCACGCCCAAGGCCTCATGCAAACGCATCGCAGACGCAGGCATCCTACAATCTCCCGTGCGAGATTTCTAACGGCAATGAACCTGAAGATGGAGGGCGTGTATCAAGAAGAAGGTTCGCTGATGACTCTGCAGTTCAGCACTGACAGCACGCAGTACAAAACCCTGGCTAGGCTCTTCCCACGCATGGTAGCACTGCGACAAGTCGAGATCAGGATAGACCTCAGAGTTCCGGCACCCTATCGGTATAGCAGTGTCGAGTGCAAGCCGTCGCTGCCGTTTCTCCGAAGTCTACCTCTTGCATCAATGGCGTGTTTGCGAGTCGAAATCGAATATGTCCACCCGAAGTGCTCCATGAATAACGTCATCAGTAGACTCACTGATCCTCTGAATGAAGAGGTAGCAAGGTACGTGATGCCAGCCATGCGAGGCGATAGTGGTCGGTGCAGGGAATGGAAGGAACAGGTAGAAGAGGATACGGGGTGTTTTTGCCATGGACAATCAGGTGAAGTACTTATACATAGCCTATTGAGGGTAGAGATGCGGCTGCCTAGGTAGTTGACATGGATATAGGTCGAAGACGAGAGTCTGTAGTATCAACGCGGCTGGAATGCAAGTAGCCACGAGACTCGCCGCATATTATGTTTACTTCCACGGCTCGTTTTGCCTCACCTAAGTATTCGCGTATGACATGGCAGGATTCTCAGAGCAAACTCTCAAAGAGGCCGTTTTATTCATTTTTGCAACAGTTCTCTGGTCGCTGTTCTTTCACTTGGCGCTTTTCGTATAAGATAGTTGTGTTACCGAGCGTCAAGGGTAAGAGTGAGACTGACTGCCTTTGCGCTAGCTTCATTTGCTCGTCTCCACCCAGGTCCTACACTTCTTGACCTTTGGACATACCGACCAACACGTAACTCCCAAGCCAATCCAAAATCATGGACGCCGATATTGTTATAAGATATCTTGCTGTCTTCGAGGACGTGTAAGCAAATCAAATTCCGTGGTTCTTCCCCGGGGCCTTTACTGATCTCCCAGGACAACCAATAACCAGCGCGATTCACCTCTACTTCGTCTCCCCGCCGAACTCCGCAATAAGATCTACGGATACGTGTGCTCAAATGATCAAGTCCGCATGAGAATGCCGCATCCACACGATCTTGCTCGCATTCACGGAGGAGCTCTAGCGCTACTGTCTACCTGCCGCCAACTCCGCCATGAAGCATCTTCGACTTTCCACACAATGGCCGTGTTCGAAGTCAGCACCTTTGTCCTAAGACAGTTGAAGCAGAGCTATTCCTTCCTCAATCCAGAGCATTGGAATTCAATCCAATCGATTCAGATGCGCGGTCACGAGGTGGAGCGATGGTGCCATCTCGCGGATATCTACAACTACGAGACTCTGAGGAATTTGGGTGGAGACCGCATGTACATCGGCTTTCTTCCATCACTGAAGAATGTTCTCGTAGTCTATCATATTGATGATGCCGACGTTTGTTGGGGATACAGCTACCGTGCAATCGCCGACACTCTGAAGTGGGCGTTTGGAAAGAGTAACCTTTGCGTCCGCGTTCAGCCCTACTCTTAGGATAGCCTCTTTGGGTAAATAGTCTGAGATAGAGGCGGTGCAGAGAAGTATGTCAGACGACCAATGAAAAGTTCATGATTAAACAAATGCGAAGACGCGTGCAGCAGAATTACAAGAACGCACAACTGCATCTCTACCCTGACGCTGGTCACGGACATCTCTATCAGGTGCTTGAGGCGTATGCGAAGCAGTTGGAGTTGTTTCTGGTATGGTGTTTAACGCCAGAAAGATGCTGGATATGAGGACAAGGTGGTCTGAAGTGAGAACTAGTGGCTTGTTCGTAACGATCCGATAGCGATAGCGTTCGGCCTGAATGCTGTTCAGTTACTCACTAGGTCACGGAAATGCAGATCGCCTTGATTATACAAAACATCCTGACTGTCGCGGCAATCGATGATCGCTTGCTATGTACACGATCGTCCAACTTTAGGCTAAAGCCGTAAGCAACAGCAACAAACGTAGTCCACTGCGCACAAACACACATCGACTTTCTTTCTCCGAAGTCACCAAATATGGCTTTTCGACCGTCGAACATAGAGATCAGGTGAACAGAAGAGCGAAGTCAGAACAGATCGAGTCCAGGCGAATCCAACCCGGTAGCAGCATGCACCATGGCGAACAACGACCAACTAGACAACACTATCCCCATATTTTGCACAGCAAGGATACCTCCCGATGTTATAATCTCGATCTAATATCGGAAACGATGCAGATAGTTGACATTGTTTCAGCTTCTTACCGAGTTTTTCATTGAGGCGTTCGAGGCGCCCGAGCTGAAGGCCGTAGAATGCACTCACATAGGTAAACGGAACCAGCACACTGTCAAGCAAAAAGCTTACTAATTCATACCACCCAGCCACTCTTGTCGACACAACCGATATCACCAAACTTACTTCGCCCACACGCGCCCCAGTACCGAAAGACCTCTCATACCCGTTCCTAGGCTGGAAATTGGACGATCTCGTCGAGTTCGCGTGGCAATTCGACGGCGCTGAACAGGGCATCGTAGGCACGGAATTTGTCATCATGGATGATCAGACACTTGAGGATAAGACAGTGGTACTCGTTACGCCATCCGAGGGCTATGACGATGTAGAGACAGCGCCTAGACTAACTGCACGATCGGATTTTCGCTCTAGCGTCATTACTCTGAATGCCAAGAGTATCGGAGTGGGTGGCGATGAACCATGGGAGGAAGCGGCAGAGGATGTTGGACGGGTATTTAGACTGTATGACGAAAAGAGTTCAGAGTAGGCCGGGCAAGGAATTATGAAACGGACGACGGGCCTGACGCCTGAAAAGATGCGTCCCATTTCATTCTACACCATTCTTCTCCTTCCACTCCCCAGCCGCCTCCTCATAAGTGCAGAACTCCACGTCTCCTTCCCACGCCTTTAGCCACTTAATCACCCTCTCAATCATACCAATGACATGCGCCATGCCACTAGTATCTGGATGCAAGACCAACGGGAAAACCACTACATCTTTCTCTCCATTCCTCTCAAGCATCTCGCTCCTAATCCACTCAAACTTGTCTTTCCACATATTCTCCATTACGCGAACGTCGACGTAGCCGTGCGAGTTGGGTGCGTTGGGAAAATACTGGAGCGGCGTCATGTCTTCCGTATACCAGTTTGCGGGAATCTCGACGAGAGTTTTGGCTGTGGGCGCACTGGGTTTAGGTAGGGGTTTCATCCAGTCTTTCGCGGAAGCCTCTTCGGTGTACTTTGGCGCTTTGATGGGTGGGAGGTTCGGGAGGTAGTATGGTTTGCTGTCGTGGTGGGACAGTGAGGAGTCGTAGAGGAAAGAGTACTCCTCTAGTAACTCTACATTACTTTCGCGGAGTTGATAGAGCGGTGCGCGATATCCAAGTGGACGTTTCCCTAGTAGTTCTTGGTAGAGACTTATACAGTGCTCGAGAACTTCGCGTTCTTGGGTGGGCGTAAGCTGAGGGGCGCCTTCGTGGCAATAACCGTGTAAGCCTATCTCCGCGCCGCTGCTCTTGATGGCGGCAAACTCTTCTGGGAAAGATTCTGCACTATGCATCGGCACAAACCAGGTTACTTTGTTCGCGATGCCGTGCTTCGCAAAGAGCTTGAGTAGTCGGGGAACTCCGACGTGGCCACTGAAGAAGCCAGTACTGTAGTCCGCGAGGTTGTTATCGGGGTGTTGGCCAGTACCAAGCCAGCCCGATACTGCATCAAAATCCACAGAAAGCAGGATCTTGATCTTCGGTTTCGGTGTTGGTTGAGAACTGCCGAGAGATGACATGGTCGGGACAGCCATTGCTGATGGGATCCTACTAGCTAGAGAGACTCCTTCGGTTGCGGTGCCAAATATCTCGGCCTCACCAGTTGCGTTGAGAGATGGTGTTTCGGGCTCGACAGCAGTTGCCTGTGATTTGCGAACTTCTTCCTCGGACCACACAATACGACCTTCCATACCGCCATCCACAGATATGCATTGTCCGGATATATGACCTGCAGCGCGATGACTTGCCAGGAAAGCAGCTGCTCTCGCTACGTCCGTAGGTTGAGCGATTTTTCTGAGCGGCACACTGCAATCGTTAACAAGGTGTCGGAGAGTCAGTATGAGCGTCAGACTCACGTAGCCTCCGCCTCCCTCCACATCTCCCCTGGGTCGTCCAACCTCCCTTCGATCAACTTGGTCTCGACCCATCCGGGCGCGACGGCATTGATCCTCGCGCTCTTATTCAATCTTACAATCTCATTCTTCACTGTCTTCACAAGACCGTATTGTAGCCCTGCTTTCCCGCTCGCATACTCCACATGACCTGCCTGACCGAAGACCCCACACTCGGACCCTGTTACGACAACACTGACGTTCTCGACTTCCTTACCAGTATCACTTTGCGACTTCTCAATGGATTTGAGAAAGTGCTTGATGGTCAGGTACGTGCCACGTACGTTGACAGCGTAGGTGCGGTCCCAGAGCTCGCTGGGCATGTCCCAGATAGGATAGCTGGACGATTCATCTGTGATGCCTGCATTGGCGCAGAGGATGCTTATAGGCTGCGAGAAATGGCTGATGGCTTGGGATATGGAATCCTGGATGGAGGCTTCGGAACTGATGTCGCCTTGAAGGCAGTGAAGGTTGGGGTTTGTTGAGACGAGAGGATTTGGGCGAAGATCGTGCGCAGTGACTTTACAGCCTTGTGCTATGCAGGCGTTAGTTACGATTGAGTGAGAGCAAGAACATTAACTGAGCTGGTGGCGTTGTTTCCTTGTCTTGTAGGCCGAAGTCGTAGAGCGTGCCTTCCACGCAGGCTGACTTGACAAAGAACCCGAGCCTACCATGGACCCTGCAAACTTCACTCAATGTGCAAAGACTCTCCGACAACCATCAAAGACACAAGACCATGACATACCTAGAAACTCATCTACAATCGCACTACCAATTCCTCCGGCAGCCCCAGTAACGAACACATGCAACCCCCCAAGTTCGAGAAACGACATGATGCACCTTGACGACGCCTTCAATGATTCTGCGGCCAGGCGGTCAAGTTCAGGTTGCTACTCTATCAACTCAGCTCCACAAGATGCGCGCCCGCATACGTAATGTAGCAACAATCGACCCGGCACCCACGATAAGCCCTACGTTATCACCTTGAGGAGCTTCCGAAGAGGGCAACGGCCAGCACTTGTCGCATACTGTTATTTCTCCGCGCGCAATCGAGATGGATGTGCACACGTAATCCTGAGTGCAGATGGCGATAGCGAAGCTCAGTTGAGGGGCTGATATCGACCCCTCTTCCGCACACCCCAGCTTGAGGAAGCTGCAGCTAGAATACGCGAAGAACAATCGAACAGCTTCTACAAACTAGCCTAATCCATCAGGCGCTTTGGGTATGCGGTGTCTGCGCCTACGGCCAATTCTCAACAAAAGTAAGACGAGTCCCACGCGCAAGGGCTCGAAGGGCACATCGCGACTCCGTACTTGTTGTTTACTAAGAACGCCACTGTGCCCTTCCGCCCCGCCGGCCCACCCTGACGGACCGTCAAACTGCCCAACGTGGTAATTTTGACAAAAACCATTGATTTCAGATGGCCGAAGGGCACACTGCTAGAGCCTAGGTGACCAATGAATTGGGTCGGTGATCTGCGGGATACGGGTGCGTGCAGAGGGGCACAAAGGCGCGGCCAATTGCGAAGAGGGGTGTGTAGGAGATGTTAGTTGGTCGGGCAGAGGGCGAGGGCACGGGTCGGCGATGATGAATATGGTCGCATACGTGCTTGGAGCCGAATGGGTGATACGTTGGTAGTAATGTTCATTGAGTCCGGCCACTGCATGATTGCAAGCGCAGAATCTCCTGCTCTAGATGATGTAACATGTGCTATTGTGCGCACTTTGCTTCCCATCTTAACTTTTGTTGGTATCATAACGCCGTGGCTCATGGTTGAATTACAAGGTGATGTCCTCGGTGCGGTAGTGGTCTGCTACGATGCGGTAGAGGTACGAAGGTGCGTGTCCGCCACTAGAAGACATTAGCTTACATTCAATGCATCGAGCTGTGCAAATCGCGACTTACAGGTTGGTGATGTAGAGATCCACAAGGTCTGCGGGAACATAGTCGTACAGTGGGTTCTCAACATCGACCTTGTCGACGAACTCGCCGTCGTCGTAGGGAACTACACTTCCGGCGTCACCGTGCTCGATCAGCTCGTCGATGTCGAATGGGTAGACAGGGCTGAGTTTGTATACACCACTGAGCACGACAACAGGTGTTTGGTGTTCCTTTGCAGCCTTTGCAATCATGTGTGCTCCAGCTGCGGCTACCAGACCGCCGTTGGCTAATACGGTATGGGTGGCCAGAATGACCTTGTTGACGCGGGACATTATGGCGAAGACATGGGAGTCTGGAATGACGTAGACTTGGATACCAGCATCGGTGAGGGGCTTCCACTTGTCGTCGTCCTCGTCGTCATCTGGATTCGCTTCTCGCTTCTTCCCTGTAAGAAGGATGCCATGCGTGGCAGTGTGGTCGTGGGGATACGTCTCGGCGTGTACGACTGTGAACTTGCGCTTTCGTGCGGCAAACAGAAGGAACTTCTGGACTGTTGTGGATGCGGTGTGGGTGAGGATGATTTCGTTGGCGTGGATGTGCTCGAGGGCGACTTCGGCAATCTGCTTGTCTGAGGTTTCGAGCTCGTCCTGAAGTTCTCTTATGCCCTCCATGACCTCGCCCTTCAGGTCCAAATTTTGGCTCTTGTTGATGCCCTCGAGGCGCTCCAGATTGAGTGCCGTCAGCGTGCTCTTGCCGTTTGGCGACGCCTGCCCTGTAGGGGTGCTTGTAGTCGAGGGTGTATCTGCTGGCTGAGAGAAAAGGCCAAAGAGCGAGTGGACGAGGGGAGCGGACGAGGTAGGCGCGTACGACGTGTGTGAGGTGAGCAACGGGGGCCGTCTCGAGGGTTCGCTAACGTCGGAGGCGTTGTCGGTGAAGACGCTCGTGGGCATGGGTTCGGCAACGGCATGCCGGAGAGGGCTGAATGTGGATATGCTCGAGTTGAGCGCTGGTCTGTGGAGAGAGTCGTGCTGCGCGTGTGCATGTGGTGTTGAGTAGCCTGGCTCGCTGCCTGTTGGTGTTTGCCCTTCGGCATGCTCGTCGACCACCTCGCGCACCAGTCCCAGTACGCGCCGTACGATGTTTCCCACCACGACCTCGTGTGGTTGCGCCGATGTCAACCGCCTGCCGACTTGCTTTATGCGCTCAATGAGCTTGGCGGCATCCCTGCCCTTGAACTCGCCCACCACGCGCAGAAGAAGGGCCGTCGTCGCAATGGCACATGGTCTCGAGTTCCGTATTTGTCGCCGTTTGAGAAGTCTGGGGTAGGGAATATTAGTTGTGGTTGCGCTACTGCGCGGAAAGGCGTATCTCACGAGATGAAATGCTCCACCGAGGCATCTACTGGAGTACTCTTTAGTGACTTCAGGTAGGTTGACAGACCCGGCGCCTGTACCGTCGCGCCCTGCATCGTGGGGATATTTGCAGATTTGTACTCGAGCGTCCCAAGATTTCGAACGGTATATAGCAGTTATGTGGGGTGGTGGGGTTGTTCCTGGATGACTCTGCGGGTGTCTGTGTGCGTTTGAAAGGGTTCCAGACAACCAATATAATTTAGGGGTTCAGAGTATCGGCCACGCGTGTTTTGTTTGTAAGGCACTGTTGGGGAGCGTTGCTTGTTCAAGACTTGGTGGAGGGAATGTGTGAGTCGTAACTAAATTGAGCTTTGAGCGTTCCGATTGGGCACGGGCTCTCCAGCGGTTCGTCATTGGCATGTCCCCAACCTTCTGCTTAGCTGCATACCCGTCTTCTCTCGACAAAGTCACGCCTCGGCCTGCTGCTAGTTTCGCCAGTGCTGGACGAGCATCGTGACTGCGCTGTCGCTGTGCACACCCTTCCCAATAGCCCCACCATCACCGTCACGGAGGTCCTACCGTCATCCCAGACATAAGCATCAGCGCACCCAGCACCCAGGCTACCCCACAGTCCTTCGCCATTCTCCAACCTCGGCCCTCGATCTCATCTCCCGCTGACGATGCGAGTGCAATAGCTGCACAGAGAGAGACGCGCAAGATGGGCGCCGACAGGAGTGACGGCTCCGGCTCCGGCTCCTCGAATACGGAAGCGGTCGCATCCGGATACGACGAAAAGACACCTCTACTCGAGAAAACCCAGGAGGGCCCCTACGAAGACACCAAGCGGCGAAGGAGATGGCTGTATCCGTCGCGCATATCCGACGGCATCGTCGCGGTGGTGGGCGTCCTCGCAACCCCCTTTGTCTATACGGGGCAATGCCTGGTGGCCGCCTTCTACTACGAAGAGGATGGCCACTTCTCCTTTCTCGCCCCGATCTACCACATCTCGCGGACATTCACTCGCGGACGTCGGAAAAAGGTCGCGGCGCACGCTTCACGAGCCTCGGCTGCCCCGGACCGTAGCGAGAAAGGCACGCGCAAGAGTCGCAGTTCGAGTGTCGCGCAGCCCGTCATGAAACAACCCACGAGGCGATCACTGTCAATAGCATCAACCTCGACCGCCATGACGTCCGACTCGGAGAGCGAGCGATCTCCAACACGCGACCCAGACACCGACAGCCCGTCGCGCCATACCCGCTCCAAATCCAGCGCAACCGCACGAGCAGACGAAATCGCCCCGGCCAAGAGGTCGATACGCATCACGCTACATCACAATGAGGACGCTTTGAGGCAACGCAAGGCCGCGAAGAAGGCCCAATCGTCCAAAAGTAACTCCGTCTCCTCCGAGGCTGCCGCTTCCCTCAAATCACCCACTGGGCCGGCAACCGCGTCTTCGAAACAATTGACCAAGTTCCCACGAGCGCCCCAACCCCCGCGCCCCCTCGTGCCACGCCGCCAGCCCTCGTACTCCGCTAAAGGCGTATCCGCTGTCGGGCCGCACCAGAAGACGCTCATCATCGATCTCGATGAAACATTGATCCACAGCATAGTCAACGGCGGTCGCTTCCAGACGGGCCACATGGTAGAGGTCAAACTCCAGGCATCTGTCGGCGCCGACGGGCAGGTTATTGGTCCCCAGGTGCCGCTCCTGTACTATGTTCACAAACGGCCGTATTGCGACGATTTTCTGAAAAAGGTACGCACACCAGCCAGGCACGCCTGATGCCACACTAACGAGACGACCAGGTTAGTAAGTGGTACAATCTGATCATATTCACCGCCTCGGTACAGGAATACGCAGATCCCGTCATCGACTGGCTGGAGGTGGAGCGCAAGTATTTTGCAGGCAGGTACTATCGACAGCACTGCACTGTTCGCAACGGGGCTTACATCAAGGACCTTGCTCAGGTCGAGCCCGATCTCAGCAAAGTCATGATTCTTGATAATAGCCCCTTGAGCTACGTTTTCCATCCTGGTAAGTTCACCCTCCGTCCAGTGCGCCCACTTGTGCTCGTACTGATTGTGCATCCAGACAATGCCATTCCCATCGAAGGCTGGATTAGCGACCCAACAGACCACGATCTGCTGCATCTTATCCCGCTGCTCGAAGGCTTGCAGTATGTCACCGACGTGCGTGCGCTGCTTGCGCTTCGGCTCGGCATGCCCGCATCCGCCTAGTCAGTTAGCCACAATTTTAGTGGCATTCGCTCTAGTACCTCGCTTTCTAATACTTTTTGTACTATAGACCCGTTGCGCCGAGCAGTTGGCTATGTAGCTCGTTGGAGGAGATACCCAAGATGTTATTCGTTCATGATCCACGCCTCGCTTGAAAGACGTTCCTTTTGAGTTTCTTTTACTCATTACGAACAAGGGATTACCCGCCCGTCGGCATGCAGCTCCGATCTGCCACTTGCGACTTGCCGCATGGGCCTGTCGTCTCGCCCACGTTTTCAAGCCTGCTCCCCCACGCGCGTCAATTCCCTTGTGTCCGGGGCATGACATGCGTGGCGACGGGTACTCACTCACCATGTTCTTACACATCCCGCTTATCTCCCGCAACCTTTCAGCCCCACGACGCCCATTTCTTCTCCCGTGGCTCCATGCAGGGCCGTAATTGCTCTCGCTTGGGTCCCATCAGAACGAGCACGTTGAATGCTTATTACATTAACACACCGCTGCCCCTGTCGCTTCCATGCCTTTACAATGTGGCCGTCGCTCTGAATTATCCAACGTGCATTTCAACATCTTGTGCCAATGCATTCGTTACAGAGAAGACGCCTGCGCTCAAGTTCGATTCCATCCGAGAACTGTCGCAATAGGCTTAAAACATGGACGTAGTAATGGTTGATTCGAGGTTAGTCTACCACTGGTGGCCAGGATATAGCTAACAATATATAGCTTGGACCATCCATTCTTCAATGACGCCATAGAAGCAATACTCAACACCATACTGCATGAACACCGTCAGTATTTCGATCATCATATCAGCTCAACACTTCTGCTCGAAGTGCTCCGTCGTACTACCACTGGCAATGGGTCGGCAGACCGAAGACTAGTCGTATGCAGTCGAAAGTTTACACTGTTCATTCGCACCTTTGCACCCTACTTCGATGTCCTTGGCACGTGCGTCGAATTGCAGCCAGGATGGGCAGGCTGTTTCTGGGCAACTGTTCGTGTAGTCTTCAAGGTATGCATGTAGTACATTTGACATACAACATGGACTAATACGGAAGCAGATGAGCAGTGACTGCGTGCTTGTCCTGGAGAAAATTGCCGATGTACTTGAAGCTATTTCGCAAATCATACCACCTTATCAGGACGTTTACAACATCTGCAAGCGTAACGGAGCCGAGCGCCGTGGCGAGGCTGGAGATCGTCATCTGGCTGCACTTCTGTCCTACGTATATGCGGATCTTGTACAGCTGTTCTTGGAGCTGTACCGTATCTTCTGTCGTGGGGCACAAAGTACAACCATCAGTTGTACGAACGTCATCCACAGTGAGACACTATGGCGACCCTTCGATTCCCGGTTTGCACACCTTGAAACACGACTAGGCCAGCACAGGAGGTGGTTAGAAACAGAAACCGCGAACCAGACTCAATACTACGCGGACATCTCACAGCACCGCAGAAGTTATATCGACTTTTTGCAGCGCCAAAACGGATCCGTAGTCAATGGTCGTGTGGAGCAAGATGAACAACGGCTCGCGAAGCGGTTGAGGAGAGTGGAGAAAGTACAGCATTGGCTGTCGTCTTCTACGTCGATTGCCACAAGGTCTCTGAGCACTCAACAACCTTATCAAGAGTCCTGCGCTTGGTTCTTACGCGTTGCCGCATACGCCCAATGGAGGAGTCAGCGCTTTGACAGCAGCATGGCCAACGATCAGGAAGCTTTAGTCGGGAACTGGCAACATCGCGTGTTGTTTGTGCAGGGTAGGTCGCCGTGCGCACACTTCAAGTACTCTATAAACTGACAAAAGCTCAGCGAAATCTGGCTTTGGGAAGACCATCATCTCGCATTCAGTCGTTGAAAATCTAGCTGGTGAAGCGGACGATCCTGATCTGTGTGACGAACCACCGGCCACTGCGAGTTATCATTTCGATCACCTTCTATCCGAGAACACCCAATCTGAAGATGCCTTTCGGGCTATGGCATGCCAGCTGCTTCACGCTCGTCGGCACGACCGGTCAACTTTGGATACTGTCAGCCTCTTATTGCGGAAAACGTCCTTTCGAGAACATGCCACCTCTGATGAAGTGCTCGATGTTCTTCTGCTTCTACTTCGGCAGCACCCCACTTTCCTTGTACTTGATGGCATCGATGAGTGCAGCGATACTGATACGCTCCTCGCATCGTTAGCAAGACTCTGTCGTGGATCTGACACAAGAATTATCCTCTTCAGCAGACCGAATTTGAAGATACCACTTGAGTATCAGAAATGGGCTTCAGATGCACCTCACATCCTCTCCCTTACCGGTCAATACAACGTTGTCGCTATTGATCAGTTTGTGGTACCGGAAATGAATCGCCTAGCAGATCAGGGCTTCTTCGGTATCTCTATGGATCGAAGGCTCATGTCGGAAGTCGCGAGGACGGCAGACGGGGATTTTCTCTGGGCCAACATGTTGATGAAATTCCTTCAGTCGCCGCTACTGTCGTCGGGCGAGCGACTGAATATTCTCCAGGGAGTGCATTCAATACAGGGCCTGGAAGCGCTCTTCGGTATTGTGTTTGACGCATTAGCGCGCCATTCGCCGACAGAAAAACGCGTCATCGCCGACACAATTCGATGGCTGTCTTTCCCGATCAACCGCATGTGTCCGGGGGCACTACACGCTGCTCTAAACACATACAGACCCGACGTTCCCGAGGCTTCGCATACGACCGATATCATACAAGCCTTGCCGGAACTGACATGTGGTCTTCTCTGCGTTGTCAACGACGAGATTGCTTTCACCCACGAATCCATACGCGATTACCTTCTCAATCCACTATCTCAAGGCTCAGAGTTCAGTCTTTGCGATACAAGCAGCGTTCACGGCCACCTTGCTGCACGATGCCTTTCCTACCTCGCGCACGATATACCAAAACGCCCTCTCGGCGCTTTGCAGCCTCACAGTCCAGCCATGCCGCCTACCATACCTACCAGTAGTGGTGCAAGCCAAAGAACAAGCGCGTCGGTAGACAGTGGATACAAATCCTTGTCTTCATCAGACGGAGACAATCACACCCACGCGATACCAATAATACCAACTCAACACAACAGCTCGAGGGCGAATAGTATCCGCACCGTGCCTTTCGATACCCATTTGCCTTTCCTACGATATGCAGCGCTTTGTTGGCCCATCCATCTGAGCCGTGCTCTACTCCCATCTTCACATTACGCCACAACCTCCTCAGCAGATACACTCGCCTACCTACCCGCATTGAGCGCCTTCCTGGCTTCCCGTATTGCCGTCACTGCCTGGGTCGAAGCATCTTTCCGGTATAGTCTACCACCGACACTCACGCGTCTCATTGGCCCACTTTCGGATCTGAAGGGCGAGATATCACCTGCTACTGTGGAGGGCAAGGAGCTAAGGCTGGTGGTATCTGAGATGAGGAATTTGAGTGAGAGATTGGTTGAATTAAAGAGAGAGCACGAGGGCATCATGAGGCGGAATCCAAGTTTGATTTGGCAAATGGATGAACCGGGTGGGAATGCTTATTGGCCGATTTGGGAAGATGTCCTTGCAAATGGGAGTGGAAGATAACGGCGAAAGCGCGCTAAATTTTGTTTTGATTCATTCGGGGTTAGTCGCAGCGGAGTTCAGTATTTGTTTGTACATTCTTTCTCGGTGGATGGCAATTTCTTCACGTCTCATGAACGCATCGAGACAGTATTGGATCTTTGATATGCGTACCTCGTCGCTTTAGCTAGTTTGGGATCGCTAGTGGTGTATATAACTTGTTCTCGGTCCAAAGCTTTCACATTGTTCCATGTTCCAAGTCGCTCTTGTCTCGAAAACTGCGACTGAAATACCGATGTGGTGCATTTTCGAAAAAGTCTTATGCGAACATGCCATGTCCGATCTGCTTTAACCAAATGCAAGGCAATGGATCCCTCAAAAGACATATTCCATGCTGAGATATGTCGCTGGACCGGCACTCCGATGATCGAGGAAGAAACGACATTCCAAACCCTTCATGAAATAGGATCTTCGTTCTCACGCTGAGCTCCAAAAGAACATGCAAGCACGTTTCATGTGCTTCTCGGTAACTTAATCTGTAAACTTGAAAAAATAAGCTGCTCCAAGATTGATGTGTAGAGGACTTCAAAACGAAATCTGGGCTGCGCAATACTGGTTCTGCCTCCAAATCAGGGCATTGTAGCCCTCATGTGTTGAGATCGTTCCAAAACCGTATCAAGAGTCACCATGTGAGAGCACAGCCGAAGGCATGGACTGCCGGCTTTCTTGGTACATGGAACTCCACCTTTTTTCTGCTCTCCTCTGTTCCTCAACATGTAGCGGAAGAGATGATAATTCAGAAGCGATGTCTGTCTCGTTCATGGTGCGGAGTGCAAGACTTACGATGTAGCATTTGCCTCTTGATGTCTCAAAACTCGTACCAGGAGGACAAATGTGCGCTCGTCCAGAAGCATGGCAGGGCAAGGCCATGTGAATGTTTGCTGCGACTGGAGATGCCGGAATTTCTAAAATAATGTTACATTATTCCATGACGTTCTATACTCATTTCCCGTTACATCACATGGATGCTTCCTCCTGGACCAATCGCCTCAACACTTGGTAGTCTGACCACATGGATATAAATTCCTCTTTCTTATTCTACCCTGCTTGTTCCAAGACCATACCTGAGGTCTCATCGTCCAAAACCAAATGAGGACGTTTTCATGTCTTTTTTCCAAAACCCTCTTTACGGGGTTCACATGTTCTGCTCATTGGAAAGGCTCCTGCGGTCTCAAAAAGGGAACAGATGAAACTCGTTGCTCTAACAGCAAGTCCGCTTGCATTTCGAGTCCCGAAATGCCCGATGTTGAAGGTGTCTACATATCCTTACGTGATTGATATGCGAAACCTGACGGAGTGAGAGTGAAGTCTACGTCTCCAGGCGTGGTTTTGGATTATGATGAACGAGCCCTTAGTATGTAGAGAATATGTGGAAGTAGACGTGGTTGAGATTGCGTGACTTGCCCTGACGCCAAGTCTGAAGCATGTGATTTCGCGTGCCTTCCTTCCGAGGTCCCCACGATTGGCCAATTGCTGCGACACGTACCTTCACCTGGTGAAGTTTACAGCCGCGACAACGATGCTTTTGCGCTCAATTTGAGACACAGTACCTCATCGTTCCCCAGCTTGGCACGTTCGACCAGGGAACAATTCACCCCGACCTGACCTCCATCCTTCGCGACAACCCCACCATGGCGCCCCCGCCATCATCCCTCTACACGCTCTCCTTCGCGATCGCGACCCTCGCTACCCTGCTTGTCGCAGCAACACTGCGTCTACTTGCCATACTTCCAAATGCGCGCTCAAAGTCTACACCACTGCGCAAGCGCCCGCTCGCAACACGTATCCTCGTCGTTCTTGGATCAGGCGGACATACACACGAGATGTTCTACCTACTGCGAGATCTAGACACACGGAAATACACACACAGAACATATGTGGTCAGCAGCGGAGATGCGTTCTCAGCGCAACGCGCTGCTGAATTCGAGCGAGGACTTGAAGATGGAGACAAGGAGCGGCTGCGAAAGCAAGAATCGGAGACAGAGGCGGTGCAACCAGACGGCACGGGAAGAAGACCTGTGATGGAGATTACAGATGCAGACGGCACAACGCATGCGCTAGAAGAGAAGAGGGCAGAGAGGCCAATATGCACTGGCCCAGACCACTACAACATCGCCGTCATCCCTCGCGCGCGCAAGATACACCAGCCACTCCTCACAACGCCTTTCTCCTCACTGTACACCCTCCTATCTTCCTTCATACCTCTCCTCCGCGCACCACCACTTCTGGCCGGCCAAGCCCCTACAACACCATACGAAGCCGCAGCTGCCGACCTTCCAGATCTCATTATCACCAACGGCCCAGCTACGGCTGTAATCCTTATCCTCGCAAGCCTCATACTGCGTTTCTTCAACATCAAGGGCGCAAATAGTAGAGGAAAATGCAAGACGGTATACGTGGAGAGTTTTGCACGAGTCAAGACACTGAGTCTGAGTGGAAAACTGCTGCTAAAGGTCGTGGATCGCTTCCTGGTGCAGTGGGAGGAGTTGGAGGGCGCAGGAGGACGAGCGGAATACTGGGGCATTCTCGTGTGAGCTCAAGGACGATTTCATGGGAGAGATTCAAGAGATCATGGTATGCATGATGCAGGCGTTTGATGTACATTTACAGCGAAGATACCCCACAGGCCACAGAAAGCCTGGCTGAGATTTCGGCTCCAATCCATGCTATATATACAAAAGGTATACTACAAGTCTCGTGTCACAGGCGTGATGCGTTGTCATGCCATCGTCTCAGTCACCCTAGTCGAGGTCGGCTGTTTGACTGGGAATCTGCTTCTTGCCCAGATACGGCTTCGTAGCACTCTTCTGCATGTGCTGACCTAATGCCGCCAGCAAGCTCTCCTGGTCGACAAGTGGCTTCTCCTTCTGGCTCTGCACCTTCTTCTGATGCTCAAGCTCCCACCTCAGTTGCATGGGCGTCTTCATTGCCTGCGCCGCTCTGTGCTTTTGCTTTGCAATTTCTCGCGCGACCACACCCTGTTCGGAGTGTTGCGCAACCTTGATAGGACGCGGTGCTTCGGGGTCCCTGTCTTTCTTCGCTTTGATGGAGAACTCGTGGATATCGCTACGTAGTTCTTCCGCAATCGTGTCGGGGAAAGGTGGCGCAATGAGCGTATAAGCCATGGACTGCGAACCTTCGACAATGTTTCGTCTTGTGTCCACATCATAGGCCGAAGGAAGCT